TTATGTTCAATATTTTTGGAGCGAAACCTGCGTAGCCGAATTAAGTTAATAACAATGATGATGGTGATAATAGTGATGATGATGGTGATGATGATGATACATATGATAATATGTGATGATGATAAGGTGATGATGATAACGAACATGATGTGATGGTGATAAGTGTGATGATGATGGTGATGATTAGAGTGACTTAGATGATGGTGATGATGACACATATGGTGATGATAATGCTGATGATGATGATTGTGATGATAACACATGGTGATGATTGTAGTGACCTACGAATGATTTACCCCCCTCCCCCCCGTCCCTCCCGTACAGAAAGGGGTATGACGCCTTACCGGACGAACCAGAACCATCAAGAACACTACGTTTTATGTTTACTTTGGTGTAATTTATCTTAGTTATTTAAATTCTTAGAGTTCGCTTTGGACTTAAAGCCCGTTTTCTTTTTAATATATCTAAGGAAGATTTCTTGCTTTTAATGAAAGTTTCTTATTTTTTAAATTAAATCTCACAAGGGTTACAGTTTATTAAATCTAATTTTACGTATTTTTGCTGATTTTTTAAGTTTTAAATAACAACGTCATCTATTGCCGTCTTTAATCAAAAGCAGCCTCCTTGCTGAGACTCCCCGCCTAGGCTAACTACTCATTGTCCCGGGGTTATAAAAAGGGTAGCAGCAACAGCAACAACAGCAGCAGCAACGCTGGTCTCGCCACCCACGACCAGGTAAGGATTCGCCGAAAGAATTACTGTTCTACATAAACAGATGACACTGCATACAGTGACTTGCCTTCACATAGTCGGTTATCTCCGATACACTACGGCATTCGAGTAAGTGAGTATTCTCTTTCATCGAATCATTTAGTATTTCTTTGAAAATTGCATTTGATTATCCTCTAGTTTATACATTTTCCTATATCACGTTCTGTTTATATAGGTGTTGTATGATAGAGGAAGTTATTGAGATAAAAGATGTAATAAAACTGACTATACTTAGTGAGACATACTATGACAACGCCTTTAGGGGATCGTTTACTTTTTGTTTTCGATTTTTCGATTTTTCTTGCCGATTTTGAAGAAACTCGCACCCATTTTATTTTTTTTTTAATTCTTTATATTTTTTATTATTATTTTTTTATTATTATTATTATTTTTTTTTTTTGGGGGGGGGGATATTTTGCTGAGCTGACTGGCATGTCCAAAAATTGTATCACTTTTAGAGGAAGCACAGGAAAGAAATCGAAAAATTCACTTCCTATATTCCCTAGACACACTATTTTTCCACAAAAAGAGCCACAATACGTTTATATTGGACTAAATTTGCATCCTGTGTGCATCTTGAAGAAAATAAATATACTTCCAAAATCATACAGCCATTCTGATTCCATATCTGAATAGAACAATCTTTCTACTATAATATGCGGTAGACAATTTTTAGAAGTCAACCTTATTATTATTATTATCTTTTTTTTTTTGGGGGGGGGTGGGGGTGAATATCTTATGAAGGCAAGTGTTTTAACACCTTGAAAAAAAGATATGTCACTTTTATAAGACGCACATGAAAATACTGGAAATCCTAATTGCATCATGTAATAGATCTACTATTCAGCTACAAAATGAGCCATGATACGTTAAAATCGGACGGAAAATGTGTGTGCCATGCGTAAAGATGTGAAGGACCCAAACATCGCGATCTTTTTCCTCTTTTATTTTTCTTTACATTTTACATATGAAGTCATGTACAGAATACTTGTATATGATATAAGTATCTATTATTGATGCTCTAATGGTGTTTCACAACCTATAATACTGGTTAAAAAAAAACGATCATTCTCCAGTTGGACGGGTATCATACGCGTGAAGTGAATCGGAAATCAAATCTATTTTAATTAAACCCCAAAGCATTCAGACCCGTGAAGTACCAGTGGCCTCCTAACGACCCCCTTAGGCTTGGGAACTACCTGTAAACCACTCGAGTGAGCCGCGGAGAAAACGGCGGCGAGGTGAGTCAGCCCAGAGTCAGTGAGGCTCCGGCGCTGACCGACAATAAAGGTTCTGCTCAGCCTTTTGTGTCTGGTTTTCCACCCCGAGATTCTCCATCCAGGTTTTAACGTTTACTACAGCCATGATGTACCATACGATAAGTATAGCAAAATAATAGAAACATTTGTGGTTTATGAGATTGTTGTAAATAATTACCAGATAGACAAAAATACGTATTTATATACACACAAGTACCTAATCCACAATAATGTCTTTTTTTATATATCTTAACCCTTTCAACTGTGGCCTGCACGGAAATACAGGCATGGTTCTTGTACAAAATTATAGTCTTTTTTTGTTTATTTCTCTCATCGTGACCCTCCTCGCTTCCCACTACCATAAGCGAGCTGTGGTTCTTTCACAAGCAAATATTCACTACATAATTTTAGTAACCGTCTTTTTATTCATTCTTTTAATATTGTTATTATGATATTACATTTTGTTTGATTCAGTGTGATTCCTCGGCCGACTGGATCGCTACATGTGTATAATGGTGGCAGCGGTGGAATGCTGTTGCATTTCCAGCTGCTGTGGGGAGTGATTTCCATGATGCTGTGGGGAGTGAGTTGTGCGCTGTGGGGAGTGATTTCCAGCGTCGTGATGCTCTGAGGGTGAATGCTGTTGGGAGTGATTTCCGCTGTGAGTGATTTCCAGTGTGAGTGCAATGCTGTGGGGAGTGATTTCCAGCTGATGCCAGTGATTTCCATGCTGTGGGGAGTGATTTTGTGATGCGTGATTTTGGGATGCTGTGTGATTTCCAGCGTTGTGATGCTGGGAGTGATTCCATGCTGTGTGGGAGTGACTTCCTGCTGTGCTGAGGAGTGATTTCCGGTGTTTGATGCTGTTGGAGTGATTTCAGTGTTGATTGTGGGAGTGGTTGATGAGTGATTTCCAGTGTTGTGATGCTGTGGGGAGTGATTTCCAGCGATGTGATGCTGTGAGGAGTGATTTCCAGTGTTGTGATGCTGTGGGGAGTGATTTCCAGCGTTGTGATGCTGTGGGGAGTGATTTCTAGTGTTGTAATGCTGTGGGGAGTGACTTCCAGTGTTGTGATGCTGTGAGGAGTGATTTCCAGTGTTTTGATGCAGATTTCCTGTGATGCTGTGGAGTGATTTCCAGTGTTTGATGCTGGGGAGTGATTTCCAGTGATGCTGTGTGATTTTGTGATGCTGTGGGGAGTGATTTCCTGATGCTGTGGGGAGTGATTTCCAGCGTTGTGATGCTGTGGGGAGTGATTTCCTGTGGGGATGACTTCCAGTGTTGTGATGCTTGTGAGTGATTTGTTTGTGATGCTGTGGGAGTGAGCCGTTCCAGCTGATGCTGTGGGGAGTGATCTTCAGCGTTGTGATGCTGTGGGGAGTGATCTCCAGCGATGTGATGCTGTGGGTAGTGATTTCCAGCGTTTTGATGCTGTGGGGAGAGCTTACAGACTAGGATCAGGCCAAGATGTGTTTAAGGTGACCCTCCCCCACGATGCTTGCCTGCCGATGCTATCCGTAGCTGGGTCCATGCGAGCCCAGGTAGAGCTAGGGCAGGGTGCCCTGGGCTGACATCTGTTCGGGGGACCTTCCCCTTTGATGCTGTCCTTGACTGGGTCCATGCGAGCCCAGGTAGAGCTAGGGCAGGGTGCCCTGGCTGACATCTGTTCGGGGGACCTTCCCCTTTGATGCTGTCCTTGACTGGGTCCATGCGAGCCCAGGTAGAGCTAGGGCAGGGTGCCCTGGGCTGACATCTGTTCGGGGGACCTTCCCTTTGATGCTGTCCTTGACTGGTCCATGCGAGCCCAGGTAGAGCTAGGGCAGGGTGCCCTGGGCTGACATCTGTTCGGGGGACCTTCCCCTTTGATGCTGTCCTTGACTGGGTCCATGCGAGCCCAGGTAGAGCTAGGGCAGGGTGCCCTGGGCTGACATCTGTTCGGGGGACCTTTCCCATCGATGCTGTCCGTAGCTGTGTCCATGCGAGCCCAGGTAGAGCTAGGGCAGGGTGCCCTGGCCTGACATCTGTTCGGGGTGACCTTCCCCTTTGATGCTGTCCTTGACTGGGTCCATGCGAGCCCAGGTAGAGCTAGGGCAGGGTGCCCTGGGCTGACATCTGTTCGGGGTGACCTTCCCCTTCGATGCTGTCCATAGCTGGGTCCATGCGAGCCCAGGTAGAGCTAGGGCAGGGTGCGCTGGCCTAATGTCTGTTTAGCGTGAATCACGGGTTTTCGCCGTGACCACGACGTAAATAAGTCGTCAAAACCCCCTCTCAGTATCACTTTCCCGCAGGCTCAAAGAAAATCGAAAAATATATATATTGAAGGGCAGTGCTACCAGTCTTTTATCTCCGCGGGGTGAGGATGCCGCGAATTCGCCCCGAGGATACATAGAAAACGGGGCACAAGGGAAAGAAAGCGCGGCCACTCCTCCCTTTTATTGTTTTATTTTGTTTGTTTTATTTGTATTAAATGTTCTTTTTATGTGTTTTTACCCTTCCACACCTAAATGCAAGGAACTGTAATAGTCATTAAAGAATTGGCAGAAAAAGTGAACAAGCAAGAATCATGTGTTTTATCTTTTAATTCACTATATATTATTTTAGTTTTTCTTGGGGATCCTTTTACGTATTTTATTAATTTTAATTTTCTAATGGTGTTTTTTAAAAACATTAATAACTTGAGAGATTCAGTTCCTCTATTACTTTTTCGCGCCACCGAGCCAAAAAGATACATGAGAGACAAGAATAAGGGGATTGCTCTTTGGGTCACGGAAGGAAACAGACGTTTGTGAGGAACCCCGGAATGGGCCTCCTCGACAGCAAAGTGGTTGCGAGCTTTATCTCTATTTAGGTATCAGGAAACATTCGTGATCATTTAGTAAAGCTCAAGTGATTTTATAAGACCGGTGCCTCTCATGTCAAGTATTTTAATGTGTCCTTGCGTTTACGTGTTTATTATTTTTTTCTTGTTTTATCATTGTTTTAGTGTGTTTTACGTTTGTGTTTTAGTGTTTTACGTTTGTGTTTTAGTGTTTTACGTTTGTGTTTTAGTGTTTTACGTTTGTGTTTTAGTTCAAGTTCATTTTCAGTGTTTTATGTCCGTGTTTGTTCTAGTTTTATCTTGGTTTTTATGTTCATGTTCGTCTGTGTTATGTTCAAGTCCGTTTTAGTTTTGTGTGTTCTTAATGTTCTCATGGTTTTGTTTTAATTCATGAATAATATTTTAAGATTGTTTAGAAAGATCCCTTTCAGTACTGTAATCGATGAGTAAGGCTCAAGGTTTGTAAAAGGAAGGAATGACCAGACTTGTCTCCATACGTATAAGCATCATGGAACCAATCTGCATCTGGGAGATCCTTCCCCCGCACACGTCTCCTCTCAGCTTAGAAGAACATGTCTACCGTACTCTCGCACACTACATGTACACTCCTTTCTCTCACACACACTCACACATACATTCACTATCATTCCGTTCCCTACACTCTTCCTTTACACTGTATCGCCTTACAACAATAACACTAACGTTCCCATACTAAACTAAATGGGTGGTGGCAGTGCACTATTTTCTTGCGAGTGTTTTTCCTTCTTATACGGCCGCTACAATCTGCACTGTATATTATGTTGGTTGCCAGCGGTGTGAAACAACGCATTGTTTAATTAGCATACTACAGTAAGTGCGACCTTCCTTCGAACGAGTAGTCGTCAGCTTGACAACCCTAGGCCCGTGACAGTCGTGAGTTTAAGTCACGCTCGTTGGTTTGCTTTGTTTAGATTTTACTTGTTTGAGTCAGCATGAATAATCGATCGAAACGCAGCAATGACGGAGAAATGGCCGGGACATCTCGAACAAGTTCACCTCGGAGAGATGATAACGCGTTACCGGGATCGACGCGCGAATTGCTGTCGCGCGAGCAACTAGATTTGGCTCTGTATGAAGAACTTAATCAAAAGTTCCAACAGCTTAGTGAGCAAATGGCCAGTTTACAGGCACAGTACGCAGCCTTAACACACAATACTACAAATGACTTATTAATGACAGAAGCACGGCCATAGGTTAAGTACGTCATTCACAAAGAGGCAGTTCCTCATTTCAGGGCTGATACACCAGCATCCCAACCTCTCAAAAGAAATCAAGAGGTAGAATCATGGCTCAGACAGATCGAGAATGTGACACAGCCGCGATCAGACGAATCGTATATAAGAGGAGCTCGTAGTTCATGCCGCGGTACCGCCGACCTCATCATTAATTCTCCTGTTTTTGTGTTTTACGTTTGTGTTTTCGTTCAAGTTCATTTTTAGTGTTTTATGTCCATGTTTGTTCTAGGTTTACCTTGGTGTTTTATGTTCATGTTCGTCTGTTTTATGTTCAAGTCCGTTTTAGTTTCGTGTGTTCTTAATGTTCTCATGGTTTTGTTTTAATAAATGATCCTTCCCCCGCACACATCTCCTCTCGGCTTAGAAGAACACTACCGTACTCTTGCACACTACATGTACACACCTTTCTCTCACACACTCACACATACACTCACTATCTTCCCGTTCCCTACACTCTTCCTTTACACTGTATCACCTTACAACAATAACACTAACGTTCCCATACGTAAACTAAATGGGTGGTGGCAGTGCGCTATTTTTTTGCGAGAATTTTTCCTTCTTATACGGCCGCTACATGTTCAGGGTGACCTTCTCCTTTGATACTGTCCTTGACTGGGTCCATGCGAGCCCAGGTAGAGCTAGGGCAGGTGCCTTGGCCTGGTAACCGTCTCCAGACTTTGGACGAGCCAAACCTTTCAACTCCTCGGCGATGGGAGGGATGTAGTGAATCGGAAATCAAATCTATTTTAATTAAACCCCAAAGCATTCAGACCCGTAAAGTACCAGTGGCCTCCTAACGACCCCCTTAGGCTTGCGAACTACCTGTAAACCACTCGAGTGAGCCGCGGAGAAAACGGCGGCAAGGTGAGTCAGCGCAGAGAGTCAGTGAGGCTCCGGCGCTGACCGACAATAAAGGTTCTGCTCAGCCTTTTGTGTCTGGTTTTCCACCCCGAGATTCTCCATCCAGGTTTTAACGTTTACTACAGCCATGATGTACCATAAGATAAGTATAGTAAAATAATAGAAACATATTTGTGGTTTATGAGATCGTGGTAAATAATTACTAGACAAAAATACGTACATATTTACGCACACAAGTACCTAATCCACAATAATGTGTTTTGTATATCTTAACCCTTTCAACTGCGGCCAGCACTGAAATACGGGCAATATTCCAGTACAGAGTTATATATATATATATATATATATATATATATATATATATATATATATATATATATATATATTATTTTTTTTTTTTTTTTTTTTTTTTTTTTTTCTCTCGTCGGGACCGTCCTTACTTCCCGCTACCGCTACTATCAACGAACAGTGGTTCCTTTACGAGCAGATATTCACTACATTATTATATTGACTGTCTGTTTATACATTTTTATTATTATTATTATATTTTGTTTTTATAGCAAGTGTAGCTTAGCCCAGTGTGATTCCTCGGCCGACTGGATCGCTACACGCGTCCCGTTCTCAGCGCGGCTGGGCGTCGCCGGACCATGACTCACTCGTCATTTCTCCTGAGGATCCGAGCTGTTTAACTCTACGGGACGAGATGGCCAATTTTCACACTCAGACTCCCGTGAAATACGATATACAAGTACAGGGAGGTGTAAAAATATGTATAGAATATCTGTAAGGATATATAGATGATTTTCGTGTATCCCATGACCTTTTGTTTATTTATATTGTTACTTCTGTTTGTGTGTCTGTATGTTTGTTGTTTGTTTGTGTTTTCTGATATTTCTAAAAGTTATGAACACATTTTAATGAGAATTTTACCAAAGGTGTGTACTTTGGCGGTGATGTGGACCACGGTTCAGATCCAGGATTTTTTTTTTAACTCTTCTAAGTTATGGACAGATTTGAATAACATTTTTACCCGAGGTGTGTCTTGGCCTAACTAATATTCCATTTTGGTGGTGATCCGGATCATTTGGGGTGGGGGGAGGTTTGCATTTTGCTCATAGTTTAAACTAACTGTGTATGATGAAAACAAGAAGAAAATAAAATATGTTTATTTATTTGTATCATTATTTTTTTTTATTGTTTTTTGGATGCTTGCCAGATTTTTAAAATTATTCCGAAAAATGAAGGCTGATCTCATCTTGCGTGGAATTTAATTAGCCCTCAGAAAATAATCTCATTTTTTTATTATCCCTAATCATTATGTAACAAATGCCGATCATCGAAAAGGGCTGCTACCACCCCCCCCCCAAAAAAAAAAAAAAAAAAAAAACAGCGGTTGGGCCTTTTCAGGGGAGAATCGGAAGCCCTGAAACTCCTTGAAAATGCATTCAACTCGATTTCGGCATGGGCGAAAAACGCCGAAAAATGACTAGATAACCTTAAGCTTATTCTCCTTATATTTCCAGATCATGCCGCGGCACCGTTTCCAGGAGAGCTGGCTTTCCAATGCCTTCTTCAAGACTTGGCTGGTAAGAGTGCCAGACGACACCACCAGGGTATACTGCCAGGTAAAACATACTTCTACACTGTAACTTCCACAGCAAATAGTTTTCTTCCACATGCAAACGCACACATGTACACACACAAACATGCATACAAACACGTACACACATGGACACGTAAACACACAGACACATAAA